ATCCTCGATAGTTAAGGGTATCTTGAAACGTGAGTGGGTAGTCCTCCCTCTAGGCAATATGGAAGCCGCAACGCCAGATGTAGCTGTAGACACAACAATCTTGTTTTGACTGCGTATTTTTGTGAGCAGGGCCTTATATAGATAGGTCTTTCTAGTGCCACCAGGTCCATCAACAAAGAATACTCGGCCTTGAGCAGAGTCAACGGCAGAAATAATCTCATCAAAAGCAGCCCTCTGCTCATTGTTAAGGGACCCCTCTAGGGCCACATCATCGGCATTGGGATAGATGCTTGACTCCTCAAAAATCTCCCTTGGAATGTCGTTGGCGGCATTATATGTGTCATTGATAGCTGGCAGAGGGAATGACTTTATGTCCTTAGACATTGAGTGTAGCAAATTCCTAATATCAATCAAGACCATCTGCTCTACAGCTGATGTGGATTGTATATTGCGTCGATAGTCCTCTGACATGGTATCTAGGTGTCTATTCCAAAGTCCACACACATCGCTCGGCTCACAGAATACTAACATTGTTGCAAATAGCCTTCGTAGTGAGGATGGCATCTGATACGGAGTAGCTTCAGCTATGCACTCATCCAATGAGTCATCGGCTTCAATGAGGCCCCTTCTCTCTACTGCTTCACGGAATGTCGGTAGGATCACTCCATGCACCGTTCTTAGATCGTCGTAAGAGGTCTCACCACTCACATGGTTTAGGAGAACACGAAGATAGTAGCATCCCCCCTCGATCGAATGGGCAGAGATGATTCGACCTACCTGGCCCTTATATTCCTGCTTCCTTCTTTGCCACATTTTATCGTGTGGTTGCCAAGTATACCACTCGGGAAAGCCATTGTACAAAATTCCACGAGCAATTTCATCTAATCTGTTTTCCTCAAAGTATGCCGTGAGCATTGACCTATTAGCACCTAGACGGTTAACCACTCTTTGTATACCTTGTCGTTGGTGAAACGACACCATGTGCATGCTCGGAAGATGGAGTTGAAGCTGCATCATAGGTGGTGAGTTCTTGCTCAACTCAAATCCATATATCCTCCATAATGCTTCTGGAGGGGGCACCCACCTAGCCTCTCTATATTGTTCAATCTCATCATTTTTCCATTTTCATCGGGTTTGCTAGCTTCTCTCATAGACACAGAAGCACAATCGTGGCCCTTGTATATGTACTTGAATAGGTATTTCACGGCCTTGATGCTATCGCATACCTCAACATTTATGTGGCAATTAAAAAGTCGGAGGAGGTAAGGGTTGTAGGGGACGACCCATCTATTGTCTAGTACGGCCCCTCGAACTCTTGCCTGGCGTCTGTCTTCACGTCGCCTATAAATTGGGTAGGAGTCCTTGCCTGGTAAGGTAGCCTCGTTGTACGGTCGTGGATAATGATTCTTGCATGAATCATGACCCTTTGTGCATGGGCAATTGCGATTTAGCACACCGCATGGGCCATACATCATATGCTTGATAACCAACTTGTGCAGCTCTGGGTACTTCTTCTTGTCTGGAATCTCATCCGAGATAATTCTAGGCATGTGAGCTTGTACCTCCTATTCATAATCAGCAAAAAATGGGCATGCGATAAACCTCGCTTCTGGAACTCTACGATATGCACATGTGCACAGACCTTCCCAAGAATATCATTTTCCATCAGCCTTTTTGTAGCTCCTCCATCTTTGCTCTAAACACACGCACAACAAGATCTGAACGATCTTGTGATGTCTGGCCAGGGTAGAGTTCATTCTTAATCTTATCCCAGTTTGGGTTGCATGTCATCGTAAGAAAGATATCCGGTTTTCCAAACTTCCGTACTAAAGCCATGGCGTCCATGTACCGACGCCTCATATCCCGTGGGCCACCAATGAATGATGTAGATAGTATAGTCCGCTTTCCAACGGCATCAGCTCTGTCCTCACCGGCCTGCAAGCTATCCACCAAGCCCTGGTATAGGTCAACCCTTATCCTATCATGATTCCTCCGTTGATAATCTAGGCGATTGCTCTCGATCTTGATATATGTGTCGACCGCAAACTGTTGGAAAAGACACTTGCCAAAGAGTATCGGGTTGAATATTCGTGGACGCATCTGAAATTTATAACAGTAGTAGTCTCGCACAGACACACATAGATTGCTAGGAGATTCTGCACAAACAATTAGATGGAAATTAGTGATGGAAAATAGCATGCTTAAGAATGAACAGTGTAAACTACTATGAGGAAACAACTAACCTGGTTCATCCTCGTTATTATCTGAACGTGCCTTGCGGAGTGCACGTGCCGCCATCACTTCTTCCATACTCACATTTGCCTTTGGAATGTCAATATGCCACCCAAGTTCACCTCTAGGGAAGAACATAGGGTATGACAGTGGGTCATAACATCTATTGTATGACCGGATACCATACATTTGCCTATTTTTTCCTTGTAGGATTACACTATGTTGGAACTGTCCATCAATTTGTACACTCTCTGGTCCATTTTTTCCCTCAATCCAAATAGCGTCCACCTCAGAATTAACCGGCACATTATACACTCCCTGGTCCATTTTTTGGTCAAGGTTAAGTGTCACATAGTAGTCATCAATTTGTTCAATCCACCCCATAGTCCTAAGTCTGTCAGAGTATGGATTACCACGAAGGATGGCAACCAACCTCTCAATAACTTCTTTGTCTTTTTCATAGTGTTTCTTGCGGCAGCTGCAGTAACGATGCTCAAGACTTGGATCGTCATCGTAGAAGTATAGCTCTAGATGCTTAGGTTGTGTACCCTCCTGTCTACCAAATGACTGTATATTGTGGTACATCTGGCCATGTGCACGGAACGTGTATACACCACTGTTCCTGATATATGTGGTCATACTATCAAGGTAACAGTAGAGGGAAGTGAGTGAGAAAAGACCATTGAAAAAACGAATGTTATCACGAAAGTGCCTAGCATCAGCATCTGCACTCAACCATAGTCTCATGGGGTCAGGTGGTGTGTCTGGTGTGGATAGCTCAATCTTTCCACTGCGACAACAGAATCTAGGTGGCTCGAATTCAAACTTCTTTGCATTGTAGTGCTGGCAGTTGTGAACGGGCTTTAGCTTATGCTCCTCTTCAGGGATGCTAGTATGTTACTATACACCCCGTCATAAGGATCAGGTATGTTAGGAATAGATGTAGAGTCTTCTTCTCGAGGATCACCTAACTCATCATCATCGTTAACTTCCTCATCTGAAGTGGTATTTAACAAACGAGTTACTAATACTTTCCAAAGGCACGAATGTAAGTACATTTTCTATTATATTTAGCATAAGTACCTTGGCCAGCGAATAGATACCCCTCGTCAGCTTCTTCATCCTCTTCAAATATGATGCCCTCGTCTTCACCTGTTGCGTAGGGACTTGTGAGAAAGACCAAAGGGTACATATTTGTGGATAAGCACTCAATTGTATTGAACAATCATGGTAAATACCATTTTTGATGATAGATAATGAATATCCAATAGATTAAATAAAATAAAGTGTATTACCATTGTATCCTGTGGGTGGACATGTCTCGTCGGTTGCGGGATGTTGAGAGCTTGGACCGGTTTCTTTTTTTAGTGACAGGGTGAGTATAGTCATGCTATTTATTTTATAGGATAAAATAAATTAGTCGAAAGGAGTAATGAAGCATCATTAAGTACCATTGTCTCTGACACAAGAATGATTTGGTGTTTGAAATCCAATGCCATCTTCAGTTGTCATGCATGGATTCTCCTGGATTGAAGCGATTATTTTCCTTGCAGTGATTTCTTCAAAATGTTGGTTTTGTCGTGCTAGTAGCGATTGTCTCTCTCCAGATGGCACACGTCGCCTATGTGTTATCCGATGAGGATCCATATCTAGGGGACTGACAAGCTGTGCCTGGCTTGAAGCTGTCTGGTTGTAAATTGGTGGTCCACTTGCCTCGGGGATAACCCAATCGTTCCTGTTCGGGAGGCCGTATCGTATCGTGAATTATTTACTGTTGACTGATTTGGTGTGAGAGAAAAACACTATTTTCGGCTGGAAATTTACGATCGTTTACGAGTAAACGAATAAGCTGGGGTAGTTGAATTTTCATGAAGTGGTACAACATCGGGGATATACTCTGGATTCTCTATGGCAATGGAATCGCTGTTCAGAGTGTTGCGCCGACGATCCCTTTCCATCCTTATCTTGTCTCTTTTTTTTTTTTTTTTTTTTTGTTGTTGCTTCAATGTGCTCCTGAGTTTGAGCATTACGTCGACAATCACTTTGGATACTTTGACGTGCTCGTCTCACCTCCATCTGCTCAGGTGTCAATCTTGCATAACGCTCTCTTTCCCTTGCACGCTTAGCTTCACGTTGCTCATTTGTTAATATCCTACGGGAATCCTTACATGAGGGTGTTGCGATTGCACAGTCACCAACTGATGCGGTATTTGTTGAATGAACGCTAGTTTCTGATAGTATTTCATCATCTACAAAGAGGGAAGAAGGTAGATATATATGTTATATTTTGTACATTATTTTACTACTAAATCTAGTCAATTAAGAAGAATTAAAAAAGATGTCAAGTAGAAATGAAACCCATAGTCTTGCAGCAAATGTAGCATATCTGCTTTACGAAATTATATATAAGATGATATGCATTTGACAGTTGTATGCAGTATACCCAGCAATTGAAGGGAGGTCTTTGTTGCATCTGGCATGTTGTATGAATCATTCCTGTGCAACCAATCAACATTCTCATCTGGAACCTTATTTTCCTCTCCTAAGGTGAAGCACTGATCCATATTTCTGAGGATGCCTGTGGCCAAAATTCCCCTTCCCTGAATCCCTTTTGAATTCGTCCAAGTTTTTTTTTTCTGGTCGGTTCCTGTTCCTCTTCCTTGTTGAACTATAACATACACTACCCCTCTCTGTCCCCCACAAGTGCATTTGCCTGCGCTCTGCCACAAGGATACATCGTGGTCACAGCCAGCAGTGCATTGCAAAGCATGAGCAAGCTCGACTACTGCTTCAGCAATGACTACATGGTGCTGCGGCCGGACAGGGCCGGCCCCGTGGAGCTCCTGCACCTCCTCTTCTCGCCCAAGGTTGGCCGGAACAGGGCCGTCGACTGCTTCACCAGCACCGAGGTCCGCAGCTTCGCGTGCCGCCTCGCCATCTTCCTCAACCTCCTCCTGCAGGTCCTCCTCCTCTCGCTCTCCGGCCCGCTGGCCGCGCTCCGCGCCGCCGTCGAGCTCGTGCTCAACCTCGTCGACAACGTCCTCCATGGTCAGTGCATGCATGTAATTAACTTGCCGGTTGTTGCCAGCGTGGTTGCTTGCGACACACGCGTGTGCAGTGCATGCATGCCATCAGGGCATGCAGTGCAAAGAAGAGAAGTCGGTGTCTGACGCAGTTCGCCTCGTTCTGACGTTCTACCGTGGCCGCGCATGCAGGGAGGATGGAGTGTCCTGACAGGTCGTCGCCGACGTACCGGTCGGTGATGGGGCTGATCGACCGGAGAGTCGATCTGGACCGGAGCATCAAGCCGACGGACAGCCGGTTCGACTCCGCGCACTGCGTCATGGCGTCCAAACTGGCCTACGAGAACGAGAAGTTCATCCGCGACGTCGTCACGAGCCACTGGCAGGTAACGTGCGCTCCTTTTGTGCGTTCGTTCATTCGGTCGAGTTAGGAAGAAGAGCTGATCGAAACGGCCGCACTGTGGAGCATGCAGATGGAGTTCGTGCGTTTCTACAACTGCTGGAACGGTAAGACGTTGCTGCTGTGTGTGTTCGCACTTGCATTGCAACAAAGCCGACATTCTTGATTCTTCTCGGTACCATGCAGAGTTCCAGAACGCGTCCACGGCGCAGGCCTTCGTGTTCTGCGACAAGGCGGCGGCGGAAGCGGAGCTGGTGGTGGTGGCGTTCCGCGGGACGAGGCCGTTCGACGCGGCGGGGTGGTGCGCCGACCTGGACCCGTCGTGGTACAAGATCCCCCGCCTCGGCCGCGCGCACGCCGCCTACACACCCACGCGCTCGGCGCGCAGCGCAACATCGGCTGGCCCAAGTGGGTCGAGCACATCAAGGGCAAGCCACAGAAGGTACGGTCTTGGATTGCTTCGTCGTCGTCGTCATCTACACTACACGTCGATGCACATGCACGGACACGCACGCCGGCGGCCGGCGACGCTGATCGATGAGCATGCACTGATTTCCGCATGCGGCCGCCGCAGGTGTACGCGTACTACACGATCCGGGACACGGTGAAGGAGCTGCTGGAGGCGAACACGAAGGCGCGGCTGCTGGTGACGGGGCACGGGTCGGGCGGCGCGCTGGCGGTGCTGTTCGCGGCGATCCTGGCGTACCACAAGGAGAAGGCGGTGCTGGACCGGCTGGCGGGGGTGTACACGTTCGGGCAGCCGCGCGTCGGCGACGCCATGTTCGCCATGTTCCTGGAGAGGAACCTGGACCGGCCGAGGAAGCGCCACTTCCGGATCACCTACGGCGACGACGCGCTGCCCCGGCTGCCCAACGAGAGCTCCGCCGCCCATTTCCTGCATCTCGGGCTTGGCCTCCACTTCGACAAATCTTACAAGCTCAAGGTGATTTATTATTCATCATTCAACCAGACCACTGGCTGAGCTGCTACTGCGTTCCATCTGCATTTTCATCTCCTTGCAACTGCAAATTGCAATGCATGCATGCAGGTGCTGAGGGAGATCCCGGGCGAGGAGGCCTCGTCTTCGGTGCTGGACGCGGTGACGAGCCGCGTGAGCTCGGCGTGGGAGCTCGGCCGCGGCGTGTACCTGGGCTACCAGCGCGCCTACTTCCGGGAGGGGTGGCTGCTGATGATGATGCGGGTGCTGGCGGTGGCGCTGCCGGGCCTGCCGTTCCACAGGGTGCAGGACTACGTCAACGCCATGGTCCTGGGAGGCTACATTCCCAAGGATAACTGATGGACGCCACTGACACTGATGACTGATGAGTCGTCAGAGCCCCCTGCTATCAATCAACCGATCGCCCGTCCATGAAGCATGCAGGACTGCAACGACTGCAGTGACATCACCTCCATCAGACCGAAGCTATGGGATATACTAGTAATGTTTTAACGTACTAGTAGTAGTAATTGAGTAAGCGGACTGCTACCTTATTATGCTATGCATGTGTGCATTTGCTGTGTACTGAACTATGAACAAAGCAAGTGTAGAAGCCAATAAATAAAGTATATGCACAATTAAGCATAAATGAACTGGGTCTCAAGTGTTGTACGCTGCCCTTACAATAAACGTCACACAAACATTTTGGGATGTTTTACAGCCTTATTACAGGTATAGTATATATTGAATAACCATTAATGTGCCAGCCTTCAGGATTCTAGAAGCGAGAATAAATGAAATGTGGTTGAAACGAACTGAAACGTGGTACACGGAGTCTACCAGAGCCACCAAATCTTCCCCCTCTATGAAACGGAAGAAATAGCATTGTTCTTTGATAAAGAAAGATTACTTATACTACCAAAACGAATCTTCTGGGATACTTTTGTTTGTCGTGGGCTCGTGGCGCATGAAACAGATCACTGACAATGCGTAACCTCTGAATTTTAGCAATCTCCATGGAATCAGTCAATCAGACCACTGTACGTTCTGCAACCTCGACCTGGGGCCTTGTTTAGATTGCAGGTTTTTTCACTCTCTCTTCATCACATCAAATATTTGGACACATGCATAGAGTATTAAATGTAGATAAAAAAATAACTAATTATACAGTTTAATTGTAAATTACGAGATGAATCTTTTGAGCCTAGTTAGGCCATGATTGGACAATAATTGTCAAATACAAACGAAAGTGCTACAGTGTCAAATACTGATTCCTAACACCAATCTAAACGAGATCCTGGTTCGCATGCAGGACACTGTGACGACTGACGAGCCGCATCTGATCAACTCGGCGTGGGAGCCGTCAGAGCCCCCTGCTTTCGGTCATCGGCTGAATGCTGGTCGTCGACGTCGATGCCTATACAATATGCAGAAAACAGTCGCAGTCTTACATGCTGAGGTCGTGCAGGGGCCTTGCAACTGCGACTATATTTGCCATGTTCGTTTGACTGATAAGCTATGGCTGAAAGTACTGTTGGCTGATTTGGTGTAAGAGAAAAATATTATTCGTTGACTAAAAAAGTACGACTTATAAGTACTGTTGGCTGATTTGATGTAAGAGAAAAATATTATTCGTTGACTAAAAAAGTACGACTTATAAGCCCAGCGAACACGATTGACGTTACCTCATCGACCGATGCTACGCGATGTAGTAATTGTTTACTGTACTAGTAGTAATTACGTAAAGCATGAGCACTATAGATACACATACACTGCTTCCGTGTGATCATTTCCTGCACTATAAGTGTGAGCAGGCAAGTGCAGAAGGCTAGACTAGAAGCTAAATAAAAGTGTGTGCTCATTAAGTATATATAAGTAGACCGTTATCTAAAAAAAATTAAGCATGAGGAGACTAGAATCTCTAGTGTTTCCCTTCTGTGGCAAAAACTGTTCCATTGTGATCTGTGCACTGGCCTGGGGCTACTTGGGCTTCCGAAAGCCCATCACCTGCCACGAGAAGGCCGCACAAGAGGTACTGGGCTGTCCAGGCCGGTCCGCATGTGCTCCTGGTCAATACGCAAATTTCCTGTTGTTAAAGTGGGCGAGTGCAAAAACACATAAAGCGAGATGTGTATCTGGATAGGGCTGGCACCGAGTGGCACACGACTCAGGAGATTGCGGCGTGGCGGTCGTTCAGTGAGTGCAGTCCGCCATGGAAGGTGGAGCTGCCCAAATGGTCGTCCCGATCCTCGGCATCGTTGCCGCGGCCGCCGTGACCTTCTACACCGTCAGCTTCATGGAGATGCGAGACGTACGCTTCGCTGTTCCCTTTCTATATATCCTTGCCTGTCTGCTAGCTGTTGCCTGTTGGTTCCCCTTTCAATTACACGAACGCTACGATTACGTTTGGGCATGCTCAGCGGCCAGCTCCGCGCATGACGGATTGACGGTCACCAACTTGCGATTTGCAGAAATCTTTCGAGGAGCTCGACGAGAAGTACTCGGAGTTCGACGAGTCAGGCGGACGGCAGCGCCGGTCACGCCGGAGGGCCGAGCGCGACAGGAAGAGAGCCAAGTGATTTGTGTCCCTGGTTTGAGAGAGAGAGGCTGAAGAAGATGCAGTTGCTACTTATGAATTTGTTGATTTCGGGATATGCCGGTTAAGTCTTTCGTGTGTGTGCGTGCACGCTCGTGCGTTCATAGGTGTGTTTGTATAAACGACTCGATCCATATATGTACCCTCTCCTGTTTTTCGGTTCTATCATCGTGACTTGTAGAACAAATTTCCCCTGAATTGCTTCTAAACTGCGTATTCTCAACGCCAATTTGTGTTTGCATACGTGCATTCAATACATCTCGGGAGAGTTGAAACTAAAGCACTTCCGCCTTCTGTGTAAATGGAGTTCGTGCGTTTTCAACAATACGCGACAGAGAGAATAGAGATGCTGTTCATATGGGTTAGCCTCTGGGAGACATCCCCTTCGTCCTAAGGTTCTGTTTTGGTAGAGTTCCGGATCTAGATTTTTTAGAGCTAGGTACTTGTAGATTAGAAATCTTGGATTTAGAAGTTTATATTAGGAGTGTCAAGTGTATTTACATGACTTATTCTCTTTATAATTTAGATTTAATATAAAAAAATAAATCAAATTAATTTAATCTAGAAACTGTAAGATCTAATCAGAAGCTAGAGGTGTGGTAAATGGACCTTAAATGTTTTTGATTTGTTCAGTAGTTCTAGTGTTGCGGTGGGGTGACGGCGGGCCAAACATGTGAGGTGGTGCGGCTAGTTTTGGCGGCATTAGGGATTCCTCCCGTGTCACCCATAGCGGAGTGACGCGGAGTACGAGTCAATGTTTAGAAGGACACTCATCCCTCCATTACTAGAGGCCCTAAGAAAATCGATGAACTCTGGTGCTTCAGTCATCGGAGCAATGCTCCCGGTAAGCCCGACTTCAACAGTACTGCGTAGGATCCAACATCGGTTGGGTGGCGAGAGAGGGACCGCTCAAGACAAGCCTTTTGGGTTGTATATACTAATCAAAGCTAATTAGAAGTGGGCAATTGGTTTAAACCAAGAATTTGATTCGGTTTTTAGAAATCAAGAGCCAATCGGTTAGTTGAAAAAGAAAAAACCAATAAATTGGCGTTGGTTTTTTCGGCTTGATTTCAGTTCAACTGAACAATAATACAACTCGGTTCAACTTGAAGCAAAAATAATAAAAAAACAACATTTCAACTCGGTTCAGCTTGATTTTCGTTTTTTTTTTGCTAAAAAGTGGCCACCCTAAAGCTGATGGCGCAAGGTACGCCAAGCACCCAAGCCCACACTCAACCATCTCACGTACTAATCATTATTTTGTGTGGTGGAGAATTTTACGCGAGCACCGTCTACAAACGCCAACTAGGGCCACCTTATTATCTGACACGATGATACTCCACAAGTCCACGTATCGTACACGGTTGGCTACGGCGGGTCCGCTCTGCTCAAATGGTGATGCTGTTGGCTATGCCACGGAGCACCGGTCCAGGCTGGGCCCCGTCCGGTTCTTCAACGAAGGGTCGGTGTTCCGCCTCTCGATCTTGTCCGCGACCTCCTCCAGCCTCGCCCGGAACTCCGCCAGCGCCACGGCCGCGCTGCGCTCGCTCGTCCACTGCTCCGTGTCCGGGCGCTGCCCCAGGTACAACTCCGTCGTCCCCATCAGCCCCGAGGAGATGGACATGAACCCGAGCGTCAAAATTCGGCATCCTCTCAGGTCGGTGAAGACCATAAATAAAAGACCTAGCTCCGATACTACTTGTAAGGTCGAGATGACGACTAGAGGGGGTGAATAGTCGTTTCTAAATTTAATCGCTCCGACTAACCAAAATAAATGTGGAATTAAAACAATCGGTCTGGCCACGACTACACCTCTCTATCGAAGTTCACAAGCACTTTATAAAGATCCCAATTATTCAACAAAGGTGTCAGGCTAGCTAGAGCACACCTATCCAATTCTAGGAGCAATGTCACACAAACCTATGCCACTAGCACTTTGCACACCGGGGAGCTCCTACACAATTCTAGTAAGCAAAAACACAAAGCTCCTAAGTTTACTAGCAATGCTCAATAACAAGACAACCAATGCCAAATTAGAAAGCGCAAATACTTAGCTACATAAACTAAGCAATGTGACTAACAATGTTACACAAACCAAATTAGTTACGCAAAGGAGCTACTTCTATGCTACTCAAGCAAGAAGATAACTAGTGAGCTACATAAGCTAACTAATTACAAAAGAAACTACACGAGCACAATGTATATGAAAGTAACCACAAGCTTGTGTAAGGAGATTGCAAACCAACGGGAAGAACAATGTTGACACGGTGATTTTCTCCCGAGGTTCACGTGCTTGCCAACCGCTCACTTGGTGGTTCGGCGGCTAATTGGCATCACCCACCAAGCCCGCACGTCGGATATCGCAAGAACCTACCCCGAAAGTAAGGGCAGCTCAATGACACTCTCAACTAGAGTTGCTCTTCGTGGCTCCCGCGGGGCGAGCACAATGCCCCTCACAAAGCTCTTCTCTGGAGCCCCGCACAAGCTTCTTGCGGGCTTCGACGGAGACCACCACCAAGCCGTCTAGGAGGTGGCAACCTTCAAGAGTAACAAGCACCACCGGCTTGCAACTCGATCAGCTAGTGCCACTCCATGCAACCTCACGATGCAATCGCACTATAATCGCTCTCTTACACAATCGGATGATCACTATCAAACATATGTGAGATGGATGGCTCCCAAGCACTACCACATAAGCCACCAAGGCTCTAGTGTGCTCAGCTACCAGCCCAAGACCGAGACCCCTTCTATTTATAGCCCCCATAAAAATAGAGCCGTTGTACCTCTTCACTGGGCACAGCTCGGGGTGACCGAACGCTCCGGTCAGATCGACCGGACGCAGGACCTCAACGTCCGATCAATGGATGCTCGCCACGTGTCGCCTCTATTCAACCTCAGTTGCTTGGTCTCAACAGTCAAATGATGACCGGACGCAGCACAGTGCCAAGACCGGACACAGGACTCTAGCGTCCGGTCACTTCCAGTAAGCTTCGAGAGATGCTAAACCGCGACCGGACGCGTCAGGTCGGTCATGATCGGACGCAGCATCAGCGTCCGGTCCTTTCTCCTTTTCTCTGTGCCGCCACATCAACGGGACCAGACGCACCCACCCAGCGTCCGGTCATAAAGTATCACAGCGTCCGTTCGAAGACCGACGTCTGCGCCTTCATTGCTGCCACAGACCGGACGTAGGACCCCAGAGTCCGGTCACTGCGTGACTAGCGTCCGGTGCACTCTGTGAAACCCTGTCTTTTCTGTACAGCGCGCCGGTGGCGCTGTCGGACTGTCCGCACTCTATGGGCGGACACTCCGCCAGTGAAGTTTCGAACCCTTCTCGTATCCGTTTCATCGTCGAGTTGATCCACATCAACTCCAACTTCATCTCCTTTGTAAATGTGCCAACACCACCAAGTATACACCACCATGTGTATGTGTGTTAGTATTTTCACAATCATTTTCCAAAGGATTAACTACTCAACTTGCCACGCCACTCAATCCTAGCGACGATGCAAAGTTAGATCACTCGAGTGACACTATATGACCAATATGCAAACAAGTTTGCCCATCTTGATAGTACGGCCATCTATCCTAAACCCGGTCATCAACTTCTCTACACACCTATGACCGATGAAATGAAATGCCCTAGGTTATAACTTTGCCTTGCACATTTCATTCCATCTCCTCCATTATTGATGAAACACATGCACCAACATGATCAACAATGATATGATTCACTTCATATCATCACATGATCATATTGGTTCATCGATCTTGACTTCACTTGCTTTTCACCGTTGCATTCGTCCATCGGCGCCAAGTCTTGCTCAAGCTTCACCGCCACGCGATCCATCGCTCCAAAGCCTCCGACTTGCCCTTCACGCTTGCAACCGGTCTATCAAGCCAAGTCTTGTCTTGATCTTCTCCACCTTGATCACATGACTCAATGTCATGTCTCATGTTCAATGAGCTCCTTCATCATCACATGTGTGAGCTTTGCAACATCTCTGAGCCATTTCCACCTACATGGCATATGTTGCTCACACACATGTACCTGTGGACTAATCACCTGGGTATCTCACATAAACACAATTAGTCCACCTAGGGTTGTCACTCAATTACCAAAATCACACAAGGACCTTTCAGCGTCTCCGCTGCTGGCCGCGCAACCCTGCTCCGTCATTCGAGAAGATTCTTCTACCAGTCCTAGCATTGGTCGCCATGAACAGCTTGTCCATAGCTTTCACTTCGCTCGACATCAAGTTCCCTACGAATAAGTCGTCGTATGCTCACTTGGACGCGGATGAAATTGGAGCTGCCGGTAGTGCAAAGCCCATTCTCTGCATGGGCAGCACCTCTCCCCGCTTGGAGGTTGGAATGTGTGCCAGCGGCTGAGCGACAATCTGTCTGCTCCTTTTTGGCAGGGGTTGCCTTGTGGTTGCCATTTGCTGCCTTGGTGGGCTGGCGATCAATGGCGACATTCGCTTGAGTTGCACCTCCTCAGTGAACCGAGCGAGACACCGGGCAGCTTCGCGTGATGTGGGCGTCGCGTCGCTGGGGGTGGTGCAGCCATCTGTGACGCCGAGTGGTCCCGCCTGTGGTGGCGTGAGCTATCGCGGCCCCTGCACTAGCGATATCAGAGACAAGTCCGTCGTCCACTAAGCAGCTGTCGCCGGAGAATAGGTATCCACCACTGGTGCTTCAACCTCCTGAGGGGCTGTCGTCTGAGTAGGCAGGCACTCAGGTGTTGTTGCTCTCATTGGACGGCTCACGACGATCGAGGCGACAAGCTCCTCCAACATCAGGTCGAACGAGATGACCCGTGCAGGAGGTCTTGCGCTCGCACACAACGCCAATGCCAGCGGATCTGGCTCAAGGGAGCAAAGTGTAGCAGCAGAAGAAGAGGCGTTATCAGTAGGAGTGCCCCTGCTGATGTCCCTCGCCGGCTTACTCTGGCGACGTCGGTGGCAGGTGCCGTCGGCGCCC